TTGCTGTGTCTTCACCATTTGTTGTCTGGTAACGGCTTCCAAAGGAGGACTTTCCCCTTACTCTGGGTCCCCGCACTATCCCCGTGCCTCAGCTACCAGAATGTAACAGCAACATCTCACGAGGACTGAACCGCAGTTCTCTGACTGCTCACCAACCAACTCATCTTACTGCACTGAGCCCGGTCGGTCCAATAATACAGCCTCGGGCAGACCACATAGAAAGCATTGCTTCCAACAGTACTTCCACTGTTGAGCAAGGGTCGCTGTCTAGCAACGGATCTATATGCCACACTATCTTTTATGTACATATACAGTATGTATAACAAGAGGCTGTTCGTCTATGTATGTATGTGTCTTCTCTGACCATAATGTGTAGGTTATGACGTTTTCACCCCATGGCAGATTTCGCGCTCTGAACAAAGCGTTTTTTTTTTCCTTGACACTACAGCCCCAGTGGGCCTAGGCCTACCTCCATGAACTCCGTTCACTTCGGTTTCGAAGCCGAGACGTCCAGGCCAAAGCCTATCGCTATATCGACTGAGCTACCCTGACTCCCAATTCGAAAATCAAATCTTACGTAAATTATTATGGTCAATGGCAATACCTATGTTCTACGACGATTCAAAGGTTGAACGTTAACAAAGAACAAATTTATTTCTTCAGAACAGTTGCAGGTTAAAAAAGCGGATCATAAACATAAAGAAAATATTAGGAAAGCGCTGCTTATAATAGGTCTTTACAAATAACAGTATCCTAGCAAAGATTTAGGAAAAATGCCTGAGACATGAATCCTGGAGCTGCTCTATCAGTATGAACCTGAAGGCTGAATGAGCCAAGGACATAATCCTTTGTGATGGAAGGAACGAAATGATTAACCCTTTAGAGACTGAACTTGTTCTAAATATACAAAATTCAGTTCGTACCTCATGGGAAACATGTTACTGCTCCGTCACAAGGGTGAAGTGATTAATGCTCTTTAGGGAAACATTCTAGAACCATAGAAACACACGAACAGGCTCTATGGACAGAATGGCAAAGCACATGCTATATACAAACACTACTTGTATAGTAACCAATGAGATTTTAACGATCTAGCCCTAATAATGACAACGATGAAAACTACAGCGTTCTAGGTTCTTACCAATATAGTGTTGGAGGAGGTTATTAACGCTTCGAAGGAACACGTTACTTCCATCTTCATGGTCGATTTCCGAAATGTTAGGGCGTACTTCCCAGATAATACAATGGCAAAATCCAGAGGACTTCTACGTTAACATTCACGACATTGGAAACCTGAAGACTTTAAACGATACTATCTGTTGTCTCTTGTGGTTTTGAAATTTTGCTTCTAATTTTATGTTGAAAAATAAAACTTATTTAGATCAGGATTTCCTGGATGCTTCTGTGTAGTTTGGTAGACAAGTTGCAAAGCTCCCACCTTAAGGGCAACAACATCATACCCCGGAAGAACAAGTCTTAATATTCACCACTATGAGAAAATCGAATCTCACTTGATATTATTTGTGAAGTTAATACCGGGGAAAATATTTGGATGTAAGATGAAATACAAACGATTGAATAAAAGTGTTCAAACAGATCTTCATAAATGAGATTTGAGAGTCCCATGTCTGGCGGTGACTATGAAGATCGTTGTTTTCCGGGTTGTGACTCCGTGCAGTCCGGTAGAACGTTTACAAACGTTTCGTAGCAGCCTGAAACCTACATCTTCAGGTAGTATAGAAGTCTATGTGGTGTACAGACAATTCAAGAATTACAATTTTTGCTCGCAATTTGACAATGTTAGTGTGATTAAACGAAAGTAACAAGACAGTGGGCAGAGGAAGGGAGGAGTCGAAGAATGATCCGAAAATGATATGAAAGATCTAAATATAGAATGGAAGGTTTTATTTCTTTCAGAGTGTGAAATTATTGACTGAACTGGAGCTGGGCTTTCTCCGAACTCCTAAGGTGGACTTCAGCCGAACATGATAACGAATCTTCAGTTTCCAAAATACCAGGAAATTTTCTGAATTACCATAACCTCTATTAAACCAAAATGTTGATTCCAGCGTCCCTACTGGGTTACATGCGTACGCGTATTTCATGTCGTTTTGATTTGTGTCACATAACCAATATTTATTATTTCTTACCACCCTTATGTTTTATTTATTGGGGTGAAAAGAAGCAACAAATCAACTCAGGAAATGAAGTGACTGAAACAGCGGTAAAACTTAAGAGAACATTGGAGTTTGTATGAAATAAGAGTAAGCAGAGTAAGCCAGCAGGACAGCAGAAGTTATGACTTCCACAACAGTAACAAACGCTGGGAGATGCTCTTCCACAAGGGCACATGGAACCAGCGGGGGATTTATGGTTCTTACAAGGGGAAACAGAAAATTGAGATATGTAATAGCCCCACGACCAGCAGCAGTCTAAGGGATAGGAAAGAGCTGTAGCTAATAAAATACAACAAGATTTTAATTCATAGGCTAAGCAGCTTCTGAACAACAGCACAACCCATAAACACAGAGAAGAAATGAGTTTCCTTTTTTGACTAGGACGTCAAACAACAATACATCTATTTCTGAGCTTCCATATTTACTATTTTGCTTTTACTTAACAATGTTACTGGAGCTTGCCCGTGACAGTAGCCGAGCGGTCTAAGCCATGTACACGTTCGGACGCCGGGATCGCGGTTTTTATCCCACACAAGGCATGGATGTTTGGTATGTGTATGTGTTTATTCTCTGTTTGTGTTGTCCTATGTTTAGGTAGAGGCCTAGCGACAAGCTGATCACTCGTCCAAGGAGTCCTACCGTCTGTAAAATGACCAACATGGAAATCACCCTCCACATCAACATCATCATCATCATCAGTAATCTGTCAAGACGACAGGTCCACAGTCTCTTCCAAAACAATTCCTCCACTTATTGCGATCTAGAGCTTTCTCCTTCAAATGACAGTATCCTCTTCTGTCCCCAAGGTCATCCAGCATCTTCTTACGTCTTCTTCCTCGTCTTCTTGTCACTTCTATCCGCCCCTCTATCTTTCCTTCGATAACTTCTTTTAGAAAGCAGTTTCTTCGTAAAACATGACCAATCCAATTAGCCTTCCGTTTTCTTATTTCGTGTAGGATATTCCTCTGCTCACTGACTCTAATTAACACTTCTTCATTTCTCACATAATGGTCGAACTGATTTTCTCCATCCTTCTCCAACACCACATTTCGAAACTTTCCAGATGTTTCTGATCTACTGCCCTAAGTATCCATGTTTGAGCCCCATACAGAGCTATGCTCCACACTGTACTCGTAAAGCTATAAGAGGAACGGATTAAGAAAGAAAGAAACGAGTTATTGGAGTTAGTAGACAAATTACCTGATTAAGAGCTACGCAACTTGTAAACTTCGTCAAGTGTTAGGTTAATAATTAAGACGAACTGGATTAGGCATAACGGACTGAAGAAATAAAATTTTCCATACGAATATTATGAGCTAAATGATAAGATGTCATGTGACAGACTTTGGCAAAAATGGGAGTGTAATGCTACAGCGAATGTTAGACGGGAAGTGTGAGAAGTCGTGGACTGGATTATACTGATTATGGATTAGTTTAAAGGCGAATTTTATGATCATGGCGATGAGCGTTTCCGTATCATCCCTTCACTCACTCTTTCTCACATTATACGGATACATTAAATATACTTGAGGATAAGAGATTAAAATAGGGTTGGCACGTGGCAAAAGAAAGGTGCTTACAAATATTAGCGAGGAAACCCACTGAACATTTTCAAGATGGCTCTAAGGGAAAGAGGTTTTGCGGAACCAAGGTGGAAGAAACTGAGTCAAGATCGTGTCCAATGGTTGGGTTTGGTATTGGCGGTGCTGCATATTCAGGTCATGCTATATGTAATTTACTTAGTAATAAAATGTCGTTAAAGCACAGATACTTAAGACAGACTACAATTTAGAACTGCATCCTAGAAGACGAGCACTACTGTTCGCTACGGAAGACACATCTCAGTTGTCTGCACTGCTGTAACAAAAGGTCTCTCGAATTTCACTTGGTACTCTGCGCAGACAGTGACACGCCAAGCCCCTCGCAAGCTCAAGATTATGTCATTCCTCGTCAGCTGCATTGTTTGTGTTCCTATTGTCATGTGTCGTCATGTGAAGGATTCTTGCATTCAGATGCTAATCTATTGTCGAAGGAAATGGCATATTATCATAGATACATCTGCTCCATATTGAATGTACTCAGATGTGTGAAGCGTGAGGAAGAATGGGAGAACAAGGTGCGGTATCCTAAAGACAGCCGGTTTAAAAGCCTGAAACCCAATATATCCACCCACCTGAGCAATGACATTTCGAAATAAGCTGTTTCAGCATTAATTATACTGAGGACACTGAGAGGTGTCCCGTGGATGGTTGGGAATATGGCGCTCGTGACCTCTCCCACCTTCATTACCACATTCCCCTCCAGCCTCCTCTGCATTATGATAACCGCTGGCGAGGACCAGAATGTGGTCAGCACAATAAACACTCGTGTCAAGAGAACGGCTGAACGACTGGAGGGGAATATAGGGACATATGGAGGGGGTCGATCCATGGGCCTTGATTCCGTGGCCTCGGTACAATTTATAACTTTCAAATGGAGAAGTACTTGTCTTTATATAAAGAATATATTTAAAAACATTGTGTTACTCATGGCACTATACTACCACAGAATTATGAGATTGTGAATTTGGCACTGTGACGCTGAGGTAAATTCTGAGTCTGCACTTGTAAGCAGGGTAAATACGTATCTTAATAATAATTACAGGCGAACCACATATCGTGTTCTTTGAAATATGTTTGTAAGCTGAGTGTTCGTAAGTTGAATTTATTTTTAATATGATATATCACTAAATTTGTTAAAATGTTCTGTGTACGTTAACTGAATCGCGAGTCGCAATTTACTGTTCCGTGCAATGTTCATAATTACAAATTGTTCGTTTCACAGGTTCGCCTGCAGATAGCAGTCCAGATCTGCAAAGAATGCTGCCTCACAATCTGGCGCACAAATGACGAAGCCACGGGCACATCGGTAATACTCCGGAATTTTATTCTGGAGGCATCCGATTCGAATCTTGGCCACGTTCGTTCCCCGCCCGATGGAAAAATCCGTGACAACTGGATGTATTGCATGAACCCTCATTAAAGACGTCCATGTGGCCTTGTTTGATTACCATATTCCATATGTAAATTTATCAAATTCAGAGACAGCAGAACCAACTTGTGCAGATTTATTTCAACCTCGAGTGCAACCCTTAAACTGAACTCAACCCAGTCCTACACCGCCGAAGGAGACTGTCTTCTTATCCATGAAACCTAGGTTAGTAACCCAATACAGAGGGCCGCGCCATAGCTCAAGCGGTTAGTCGCTGGCTTCCCACGAGGGCGGCCCGGGTTCGATCCCGGGGTCTGGTCAAGTGGGATTTGTGGTGGACGAAGTGGCGCTGGGGCAGGTTTTCTCCGAGTACTTCGGTTTCCCCTGCCAATCTTCATTCTACCAATTGATCCACAATCACCCTCACCTATCATCTGGGGCTGGTACAATAGGCCAGAAGTGGCTGCAGTACAAGGGACTAAGTCCCACCCCACTAGCATTAAAAAACCAATACAGAAATTCATTTACTCTTTCCTTGTCGGGGGTTGCCAGGGATGGAAAGTTCCAGGCAGGACAAGAACAGTAGAAGTAATGACGTTGCCGGCAGCTCCGTTTAGCTTAGCTATCAGTCTAAACCACTGCATTACTTGTGGGTTTTTGCTTAGCTTATACCAGGGGTCTCCATACTTTTCGAAACGCGGGCCACATAGGTAATTCAGCACTTTCAACGGGCCGGATAAAATGAGAAATTAATAACTCTAGGTATATGAGTTTTATTGAAAGCACAGAATTTCATAAACTAAATACAAAGTACGTGAGAATAAATTATCGTATATTAATGACAACAGACAGTAGCAGCAAATGCTCATATTTTCATCACAGATTATAATAAAATAATTAATGTCAATGATGGAACTCTTTTTGCATTCTTAAAATCTGATTAAATTGAGGTTCAAATTTTGAAACGCTAATCACAAGTAGCGACTTTAAATGTTCATCGGATAAATTTGCCCTGTATTTCGACTTGATGTACTTCATCTGGGAAAAAGTTTGTTCACACAGATATGTCGTCCCAAAAATGGAGATAAATTTACAAGCCGGCCGTCGTAGAATGGACTAAAGTTCCGGTAGCCTTAGCAACATTCCTCGCTACCAATTGTCGGAACAGTTAAACCAAACTGGGCATAAGTTTCCTTTAATACAAAAATGGTAATAATTACGACACCGGCGGTGATGATGATCTGTTACAATTACACTGCACCACTGCAAGAAGTCTTGTGCACAAGACGGCTAGTAACGAACTGCTCGCGCTACCTACATTGCCACGAAGTGACACTGCCGATCGAGGCCGAACAAGTACGAAGAAATACTGCGCAGTATACGGTCCAGAATTAGTAAAATTGTGAATAATATTAATATTAACATAATATGGAATATCAATATATTTTAAACACAATCTTAATTAATGAATTTGAAATCTACGAACAAGTACTTTTTTTTTACCAGTACTCATTGGAAAATTAGTTCAATTGGCGCATTTCTGCACAATTCTTTCGCGGGCCGCATAAAATCACATTGCGGGCCGGATATGGCCCGCGGGCCGTAGTTTGGAGACCCTTGGCTTAGACATTAAAAACTGAGGCATGTGTTCTACAGAAACGTTGGTGGACTTTTACCAAACTACACGGAGTTACAAACCAGAAGATTATACCTTGTACCTCAAAATATTTCAGAATTGGGGGCTCCTCAAGAAGGGCTCAGCTCCATGAGTAAGTAAGTAAAGTAAGTACCTCAATATATTTTCTACCCTTTCACTGCCATACTTTAGTATACTCCTAGAAGTTCCATGAAGATGTAGGTAATATATTTCTCCGAAACAATTGTCTTCGCTTGCCAAACTACGTGGCGTTATAACGCGTAACATCACAATATGAACAATCGTATTTAGTTCTACTCCAATTGTATTCTTTAGTCTGTATGCTCCTACCGTAAAAAACATTATGCCTGTAAGTTTGGACCACGTCACTTTGCTAAATGTTACAATATAGACGCCTAGAAAATTTATGGGGAAACTCACCTCCAGTGGATATTTCTTGTTCCCATTTGACTCTTTGGCTACAATGACCGCAATAAACCAGGCTGTGACCAGAACCCTAAAATAAAGAAATTCGGTATGAATATATTTTACACTTCAAACAGTTGAAATCAGTGATTTCCATACGACAGATATGCATAAAACTATCTCGCAACCAACATATCAGGACTGTGGAATAAAAACAGGCTCTTATAAAATATAACATGCATTAGACATTTCAGCTTTTGTGCTGTTGCACTTAGAGCCCGCAAAGTCCAGCAGTGCGGTTTTGTGTGATAGCAGATCCTCGAGAAATATGCAACTCGCCTTAAGACACCGTATCGCTCGCAGGTCTATATTTACCTCTCGCTCCGATGGCCAGGTATGTGGAAACTTGTATGGGTACAGACCATATACATAGCTACACAATGTGAAAGTTTGATAATATAGCGGGTAAATGTAATGAAACTGCAAACTGTACTCGCGAAAATTATATACAGATAAAAACACATAGGTAAAAGCTAAAGTTGTCCCTGTGCTTAACTAATTAAGCACTACGGCATGAAGGGGTATAGGGGAGTGGAAGTGTAGATCCATATTTTCTTCAGCTCGACATCAGCTGGATGGATATGGACGGCGTATGAATGTATAGACCTCGGCACTAGCTGAAGGTGAGTGGTCAGCTTCAGGCCCCGGCCGCTTTACCCCCGGTACCAATTGGATAGGAAGTTTTCTGGACCCCAGAGCCGGTCTTGGCGACGTGGGCGGAGCATTGACTCATGTAATAATTAACTTTTAGTTTTTGTTTCGATCAGCATAGAGGCTGAAACAAGTGACAGAAAGCAAGAGTCATGATTTTATAAAGTTTCTGACCATCGGAGCGGTCATCTTACGCTCCCATTTCGGAAGCTGAATTTGCTTCCGTATTCAGATGACTGGGAGCTATGCAGTTGAATCTCTTTGAGAGGGCTAACCCCTATCACTGGATGAAGTGACAGATAATTCTTCCAGCGGATCCATCTGAGCAGGTATAGTTCACCTGAGAATGGCAGCAGACCCTGGTCCCGAAACGTGGTGTTATGTTTTAGAATCTTGAACAGTCAATAAGTTCGGAAAGTCAGGAATACTAAGTGTCACAAATGTTCATAATTTTCGTTTTTAAACATATAACCCATCCAACCACTGCAATGATAAGACACCAAGCGGGAGAGGGAATCTGAGACAAGTATGGAAGGTACCCTCAAGGGGGGGGGGAGAGGAGGAGGAGAGAATCTTACTGTCAAGATGTCGAACTTCCAATAAATACTACAAGGTTACCGGCGTTGCATAAGCAGGAGAAAGACGTGTTATCGAAAAGGTTTAGAAAGACATCACGTCTTCTTTTATAAACCTTTCAGGTTTTCAAACAGACTTCTTTGTTGTCATGAGTTGATAAAACAAAAGATTAACTCTAGAATGTTAGTTTAAACCCATTGTCAGATTAGTTCTTAGAAGGGATTTGGATTATGTTAGCGGCGACTCCGTAAAGCAGACACACCCAAAAAAATCGGCGCCCTGCAGCTACTTGTTGGGATCCTGACAAATGAGATCGTGCCTGCGATCGCGGGAGTAATTACAGCGCGACCTACGGCCCTTGTACTGAACTACAAACACATACAGTGGAACCCCCAGGCTATGTGGGTTCATTAGGCAAATGAGACAGTTGCAGTGCCACCTGTAAACGATCCTTGGTTACGATCGTCCATAAATGAAGTTTCCAACTCCGATAAAAGTCTCAGTTCCCACTACATTAAACCATTCTGTTTCACCAAGGGACCAACACTGACATATGTCTCGAAATCTTCTGTTACTAGTGCATTTCGTGTTTTCTTAAACGCATAAAATGAACACATAACGGGACGTCGACACACATAAGCCCTATAACTCCGAAACTACTAAGCAGACTTCGAAGAAACTTAAAATTCAAGGCGTGTAAAGCAAAAGTAAAAAGTAAAGTACCAGGCCGTGAAGGCTCACAGGGTTGTGAGAGGTTGAGGGTCTCACATTATCTAGACAATCGGCTCAGAGATGGCGGTAAGGTTGTCAGCCTTATGCACCGGCCGCGCGTTACTCCCCAGGAAAATTATTTAGTTAATTCCTGGTACTCATTTCTGTTAGAGGCTGAGTCCACCCCAGGGCCATAGTACGGCCGGAAGGATTAGGTCAATTGAAAAAAATATCCGAGGACTTCATCGGAACTTGAACCCGCGACCTTCCGGCTTGTGGCCTAGTGACTCACCCAACTAAGCTACCGCGTGCCCACAAAATTAAATATAAATGCATGCATCATAACTTGTACACTTCTCCAAGTATAATCAGAATATCAAGTCAAGGAGAATGAGGTGAGTAGGGCATGTAGCACGAATGGGGAGAAGAGGAATGCATATAGGATATTGGTGGGAAAGTCAGATAGAAAGAAACCACCGGGAAGATCGAGGTGTAGGTGGGTAGACAATATTAAAATGGATCTTATAGGGATAGGATGGGATTGTATTGTTTGGATTGATCTGGCTCAGGATAGGGATCAGTAGAGGGCTCTCGTGAACACGGTCATGAACCTTCTGGTTCCATTAAATACTGGGAAATCCTTCAGTAGCTGCACAATTGGCGGCTTCTCAAGAAGGGCTCAGCTCCATGAGTGAGTGAGTGAATATACGTAAAGAAGTAAAAATTATCCGCACTCTTGTCTTTCCGTTCCATATACACAAAAGTAGGGGTTGAATAAGTACTTCATTTTTCTACATAGTCTCCTTCCTTTTCGATGCACTTGGTCCAGCAGTTCTCAAGCTTACGTATTCCCTCCAAGAAGAAGGTTTTCGGTTGGTCGTGCAACCATTTATGCACCGCTTCTCCCACTTCTTTGTCTGTAGAAAATCAAAAACCTCGTAAAGCATCTTTGAGCGCTCCAAAGAGATGATAGTCGGAAGGGGGAAGATCTGGGCTGTAGGCAGGGTGTTCCAGCACCTCGA